TGCATATGCTGATACGAAAAACAAACACCCTTTAGTGTTGCTTCCCTTCGGGACGCTGATTGAGCCCTGAAGACGCACTGCACGCGCGTCAGCAAATCACACCCAAGGCAATGGTGCGATAGAGAGAGTAAACCGCACCCTCAAAAACTTGCTGAAGGCCTTTTTCGATTCGGAACATACCCGATCCTGGGACGACGCTCTTCCAAGCTGCTTGTTTGCCTATCGAGTAACGGTACAATCGTCAGCCGGACAAACCCCACATTTTATGGTGACCGGACGTGAAATGCGTATCGCACCCGACCTTTAAAACCCGGTCACTGTCCCCGATGGTCTATTGTCAAGTGAATATATCTTACAGCTACGCCAGGCTCTAGCGAAAGGGTTCCAGTCCGCTCGAGTGCACCTCTGGAACGCCCGTAGGCGGCAAAAAGAAAACTATGACACCAAGGTATTTGGTTCCTCATGTATACCGGAGATCATGTCTGGCTACATGTTGAGACCCGTGGACCAGGCGTACCCGCCAAATCTACTTGAGTGGCAAGGCCCGTATGTCGTTGTCTCCATGGCTTCTGAAGCCACCTGCTACATCCAGCCAATAAACGATCCCGCAAAGCAGCCCTTCCTCGTGCACTTCAACTGGTTGAAACCCGATACCACCGCTGACTACTCACAACCAGCCAACCCTATGATCATTGCAGAAGAATGTGAAGTTCCCCCAGAAGGCGGGCCGGCAACAGCACTGAGGACAGTGCTTAATTCGTAGGGGGGACAAATGCAGTGGCAATAAGTGGGCAGACATCTTGATGTAAACTAATTTCTCTTTATTTTCCTCCTCTTCCCACAGACACAGAGGAAGAGCAAAGCCAACACAAGATGGAACCCCGGAGAAACGAGACATCAAATGCCCATTGGTTAATACTCGCCCCAACCCTGTCGCTTGTGTATACATATATATACATATACATATACATATATATATATATATATATATACAAGCGACGGGGGGTGGGGCTTGTCTGCCGACTAAACGTGTGATCTGATACACTACAAGTTCTCGTCAATTATATAAACTACTACGTTACACCTACCACAAAAGTTGGATGGCGTTTGCGGGGTTCGAACCTTAAGCCTTTAATTCCGGTGCATGGTAGCACAAGTTTGATCACCTACATCCATTCGAAGTACATGGATCAAATGAAATTTCTGGTATACACTACACTCCGGCATACATCGGTTATCTGCTTCCAGTTAAATATCTCTGCAGAGCAGAGCTGTATGCTACCGAGCGCATCCCCAGTTCGAAGATAAGGGAACGGCCCTCAGCTCGCGGCTAACCGTGGATAAGTTACACGCTAGGCGGAGCACTTTGAGACAGATTACCTAGCCATCAGCGGCAGTTTCTCGCACAGTTATTCCGGCACACGTCCCATTGTCTGTCACAACAGACCCACCTTCTGATGCGGAAATCCGTAAGGAGATCCAAGCGTTGGGACGCCACAAAGCGCCGGGCTCCGAAGGCCTTCCTCTGTTCTATTTAAAGATAGTAGAATAAAGCTTGTTAGATGATGGGTGACTCTGTTCTCTAAGATCTGACACACTGAGCAGGCTCCCTCCTCGTGAAGGAAATCGATTGTTGTCCCCATCTTTAAAAAGGGCCCGCGCAGTGACTGCGCCAATCATAGGGGTATAAGCCTTATCCCAATAGCGTCAAAGCTGTTAGCGTCCGTCATTCTCCGCCGATTGTACAAGACACGTGAAGGGCAAACCTGCCGGTTGTGGATGCATCGATCAAATCTTCATCCTCCGACAGCTGTTAGAGCATCGTCATGTCTATCAAAAACCAACGAGTGTTTGTTTTTAGACATCCGTGCGACCTTCGACTCTGTCGAACGGACAGCACTATGGAACTGCTTTTTGAGAAATGGAGTGCCTGAGAAGTATGTATTGATCCACACAAAATTGTGTCGTCATACCTCAGGTCGACTTAAGGGCTATGACCAGCTTTCTCCACCCTTTGCAGTCTCCACTGCAGTTCGCAAGGCAGCCCTATATCCCCATTCTTTTTTTAACCTTGTCACAGAGTATGTTCTACAGAATGCTTTGCCCGGTCTAGCAAACGGTGGAGTCAAACTCCTCCCAGAGAACAGAGTTTTGGACTCAGAATATGCCAATGACATCGCCTTAATGGGTGACAAAACACAGGCAGTCCAACACACTTTGAACCGCTTAGTGATAGAAGTATCTAGGTATGGTATGTGCTTTGCCCCGTCCAAATGCAAACTGTCTGTTCAAGACTGGCAGGAGTCTGTGCTTGCACTCATCCTCCGTGGTGATCAACTGGAGGTGGTTTAGAGTTTCAAGTACCTCGCGGGGCCTGAAGGCAGCTGTTGCTGGTTTCAGAGAGGAGATGAGTCTGTCAGTTCAGTTTATGCAACCATTTACCATGCACTTTCGTGCGCCGGTTGTGGTTGCTATCTTTCGGTTGCCCATTTGGATAAAACAGCAGAATGATTTGAATGTTGAGAGTAGATTAAAGCAGTAGATAGCGCATTTACATAGACTGAGGTTACAAGAATAATGAGTAGATGCATGAGCGCCACTGTTTGCGAGATCGAGCCATATCACTGTCTCTAGCCATCGGTGATCATGATCTCAAGGTCACCAGTCAGGGAGACTAACGGGACCTATGTGACCCAGACTCCTGATTAGGGTTTTCATACATTCATGCCAGGTCTTAGTTTGGCCAGCCTTTACCTTTTCCAACCGCCACCTGCCTCGCTCGCCGTGACAATCTATCTGGCGTCATGCGTAGCACAAGTCTCAGCCAGTGTATTCTATGAAGGTCGACCATTTGCTCCAGTGGACGACCACGATAACCTAAAACTCTGCGCTTAACCTCAGCATTGCTCGTCCGGTTACCCCGCCAGACTCAAGCAATGCGACGTAGACAGCGATGTTCGAACACCGACAATCTATTTTTATCCTGTTCCCTTAATGGCCAAGTTTCTGCACCGCAAAGCAGAACTAGCCGAACTGCTGCAGCGTATACTCCACTCTTTTGCATGCACGCCGACACTTCATCCGTGATGCGTCCGCCGGGTGAGATATAGATGCCCAGATAGCAATCGCTCTAAACCGCCACCAATGGCTTGGCCACGTTTTGTGTATGCCTGCCCATCGATTACTTTTCCGTGCTATCTTTGCACGTGTTGTGCAAAGCTGGAAGAAGCGCAGCGGCGGCCAGACCATGACATGGCGTACGTTTATGCAGAAGCTAGCTTCGCAGCCCGCTTTTCACGTTGGAGCCCAAGGGACGAGGATTGTCGTTGGTTAGAGACGCTGAGAGAAATGGCCCGGAATAGAACTCAGTGGTAGAAATGCTGTACGGTCTGCCTTTTGAAATCTCGTGTTCCATAAAAAACAATAAACTGACACACAAATTATCAAAAGTGTACCGTGAAACAAACAAAAACTTGTTATTTTCGTTATTCAACTTAAGTGTCTGACCCCTTTGTAATCTGCTAGGTATCCCAACTTCATATGTTCTATTATCCGTGTTGTTGCATTGGCACGAAGCTTGCTCACAACCCGGTGATAAATATATATTGTAACATAGATTTAAAAGGCCAGGATGATGATTATTGACATTCGCTACGGAAACTCTTTATTCTGTCTGAATGCGGTAATGTGGATTCAAAGTGCGTTACCAGCCTACGCATTGTATGGATGCAACCAAGTTCACCTCTTAAAGCGACAGTATGGTCGGGGTGGGTGTTTACGGTTTCGTCTGGTCACCCTGTCCTTGCACCTCCCGAAATGCTCCCATAAGACCAAGGGTCTCAAATAGCCTTTGTTGAGGAAGTCCTGCTCACTGCCTTACCGTGGCGGAGGTGTTTTCTCACCAAAGTGAGAGGGCAAAAAGCCGACATCCGGAGCTATAACCGAGTTGGTGAACCACTGGTAGATCGCCTAGGGGAGTTGGCCAAAAACCCTGATTCCAAACTAACCATGAGGTGTACGAACCGCACCCACACCTTTTCGGTTGTGGCAGTGGTCACCGGCTCGATTGGGCATTGAGGTGTATTAGGCATCTTGGACATTTGACCCCGTCCAAAGATCGAATGATCTCATAAACTGGACACCTAATGGACTGTGGTTTTCACACACCGCCCCGCTGTCTTGCGGGTCAGGCTTTGGTGAACCGAAGGCTTCGGTCGTGGATCCCTAAAGAAAATTCACCTGCCTTGGCCTAGGCAACGTGACAGTATTCAGCCCACAAGCCAATCGTGGAACGTCTTTTCTTTTTTATAAAGATTACTGTACCGTGGTTTTCTTGGTACAGTCTGTCCTCAGGCAAGTGTGAAATATAATAATAATACTCTGTTGCTCAAGAAAATTGAGTGAATAACCGGGTTGCAACGCTACTGATGCAGTTTTTATTCATACCTTCCGGTTTCTTTATTGGCAGCCTCGTAGGATACGCTGTCTTTTCTGACTCTTAAAGAGCCTTTCTACAACCTTAGGTCTTCAGCAGACCTAGCGTTAGTCGTCTTCTCTTTAGAGACGAGTCCAGTCCAGTTTCCATAGGACGAATTATGGCCCTCGTCCATCGAGCGTCCAGATTGTCTGCGGGTGTTTTATCGGATTTTGTCAGTCGAGCTGAATGAGTCCTAGGTTTTATAGAGTCTCGTTATGGCTTACCCCGCTAACCTTTGGTCATTCGGACATTTAATTCTTGTGCTTTCTCTAAACAAATTTTTTATTACACACATTTATGTAGTGAACAGGGCGAACCCCATAGTCACGAAGGCCCGTTGCTCTGTCATGGAATGCATCGTTCGTGTAGACAGATGCCCAGATTTGCTATATAGCAAGCCACAAATGCCGCAGTTGTACTGGTCTTTTAAAGGCGAAGGAACACTTCGGGCTGACTTGAACCAGAACAGTGCTCTTCTCGTCCTCTGGGCAGTCAGTGGCATAAATACCTAAGTACAGCAAAGCTGCTACCAAAGTTGGGTGGTGGTGATGGGGCTCGAATCTCAGACCATTGGGTTCAAAGTACGCCCGTGACAGCGACTAAACCATTACACCACCACCAGCTACTGAACCGTTAAATGTTAAACAGCTCAGGGCGACCGGGTCTCAGAATGTCCTCCACTCCACTGCCCTGCGTAATTTTTCCTAAAATGTTTGTTAACACTCTGATTACTCTATTTTGAAATCAATGGCAAAAAGAAGCAGAGCGAAAGTAGGGCCACACACAGGCCATCTATAAAATAAGGAACAGTAGGACAACGAAACCTATTCATTTGACTTAGAGATTTCCTCCACCAGCCTCACGTAAAACGTGTTAAATGTTAAAAAATATTTGGTCTAGTAATGAATTTTTCCACACTGGTGCCGAAAAAGCCTATTTTTAGATCAGGTCAGGTCAGGACGTGCAGCTTGAGCCAATTAACATCCAGTCTCTTGCATTGGTGAGCTGCAGGCGTCTTTTCACAGTGTTTCGACAGACCATTGTTTGTATTCTTTGTCGCTATTTGTCTGCAAAACAGTAAGGGTGGCAACCCAAATCTTGTCAGAAGGACCAACCATTAGGAGTCGTACAGGTTCATGCCGCTAACCCGACTTCGCACGTCCCCTCTCGTGATCGATCCTTCCAGCAGAGTCTCATGCGAGTCAAAAGAGTTTGGGGGATGCTCCAGTACAACATCAAAAGCAAAGCATTTTAAAATTGGGGTTTAGGATTTTATAGAATGGAGT